CTCTCTCTCTCTCTCTCTCTCTCTCTCTCTCTCTCTCTCTCTCTCTCATTCAGTTGGTAAAGATATAGATGTGCAGACAGAGAGAGGGAGTTTTTGCGCGCCAAACGAAAATTCGTTGGATAAAGAATGGTCAGAGAGCATGAAGAAGACAACATATTAAATTACAAACTTTGATTTTATATCCAAAGTTACGCAATTCTATTAGATTTGATGGGTCGAACAAATTCCTTTAACATATACTTCAGATATATTTTGATGATGATATGTATACCGATATGCAGTTGTCGGAATCATTATATAATCACTGTTTGTTTATCATAACGAATTCTCTGGCCCAAAAAAGCGCACAAGCATTTTTCCTTCGGTTATTTTGAATTAATTTCATTCGATGTGCTATGTCTATTTTTGTCGTTTCGTTACTGGCAATAACTCGCTCCCTTCTTCTCTTTCACTTTTTCTCGAGCTTCATTACCATTTTTATTCCTCTCGAGTCGAAAAAAATCCACTTATTTCTTTTTTCCACGAAAGAATTTGAAATGCAGTGCAAATTGCAAACAAACGGAACGACAAAGCAAACGTCACTGCAAACTGAAGACTTGAGAAAACGTAGCTCATTGCAGTTTTATGGCGAAGTAGAAAAAAACTCGGACAAAAATGAAATAATCATAAATAGTAAGAAGATGTCTAACTAAAATAGATGCTAGTGATGCGAAGCTGAGCTCATAAATACATCATGAGCATTAGCTGAGTTGGCAGAGAAAACACACGACCTCACATGTGACATCCTGATATCCATTTTGCATTAAATATTTTTCAACAAACTCTTGTTCATAGAATACATGTTTATTTCTATGAACTTTGGCAAGAGACTCACGTAGTCACTATCACTATATTCTTGTCACTTGTCTTTCTGCTTTCATCTTTCCTCATTATATTTTTTGTATATCTTATTTTCTCTTTCTGTCCGTCTCTCTTTCCCTCATACTTCGTGCCTTTCAAAATTAGTTTATAAATAAATAAAATCCATTAAATTGGCCAAAGTTTGAAGATTTCTGTCGCAAAATGCAAAAATGAAAAGTTGAAAGATTACCGCTATTATTCTATTTGATACATAAGCTATGCGTTGCTTATCATTTGTGTGGTCACTCTGTTGTTTATTCTGAAAAACCTTAATAGATGCGCATTTTCAGTGGTTTTACAAAATTGAAACTATCAACGTCAGATATCTGCTTATTGTTCTACATTCCCTTATCATCACTTTTCTCTCTGCCTACAAAAAAAAAACAACTACATTGACGCGATCTTCATCATTTCTGAAAGTGGTGGCGGACTTTATCTTGAAAAAAGTTTTTTTTTTTTTTTCAATTTTTGTTTTGCCAAAGTTCTGCGCAACCAAACTGAATTGCTTGAAAACAATGCAAATAATGAGTGAGAATGCTCGCAGAACGCAGAGGGCAAAAAACTTTACCCAAATAGTCTTTCATGTGCTTCGAACAAAAGAAATGATTTTGCGTTCACTTCTGTTATTCGTGTATATCTCAGCGAGATAGATTATGTGGTATTTAATATTCTTATGACTCGCAGTTTACTAATGAGAAATACTTTGAACTTTTCCATAAGTCATTTCAGCATCGTTTTCAGCCATAATGCTGGAAATAGCATCCATATGGATAGAAAAAAATATGAAGAAAAAAGCGGTGTATCATGCAAAACAACAGCATCGCAGTGAAGAAAGCTCGAAAAGAGAGAGAGAGCGGGAGAGAGAGTGAGTAAAAAAAACGAGAGAGTCGCCGAAAGTTTTGCCATGTTCACATTGTTTTGTTGAGCATTTTAATAATATTTTTGCGAATAATAACAGAAAATGGTCGAAGCCAAATGCAAAAATTATACAAAATAACAACTAAGTGGTGAGGTTATGAAATGCAAACATCTTCTATCTGTTTGGCTATTTATAATTTCTTATGGTATATCTATGGTCTTTTTTTGCTTTATCGCTTGCTCTTTCCTCGCCAGCGTATGTTGTCGTTGACTTCATTAATACGTTTGGCGGCTAAGTAGCATCCATCGTGTTTGGAGCATTGTGCTATCTGGTTCATTTTGTGGTTGTAGCTAGTGGTTTCATCTTCATCTTAAATCCATATTCTTGCTGTTCCACATAATCATCGCTCAACCACAAGAAAAGCGGAAAACATGTAGAGCTGGAACTACGATGTTTGGAACCACCAAACATAAAACAACCAACGCCAAGTTTTCAATGCTTTTCGGGTATGCGAAAATGTATTTCTCACAACGAAAACTAATCCAGTTAAGGCGTTTGGCAACCATTCAACAACTGGTTTTAGCTTAATACAAACTCTGAAACAAGAGTGTTCTCACGCAGAGGCGTATGTGTGTGATTGTGTCAAGAAGAGAGAGAGTGAAAAAAAAACAGTTGGAATCGACCAACATAAAAAGGAAGAGCCATTTTAAGCTTCTGGCACGGTTCAATATAAACACTAATGCAAACACATAGATTAAATGTGGCCACTGAATGAGAATGCATGGCAATATGAGATAATGCAGACTGTGATTCTAGCAAAATCCAACAACTGAGAGAGAAAGAAGAGAAAAAAAATGGAGAAAAAAGTAAATCGCTTTGAGTTGCCTCCAACATAGTTATTCGTTCTGTTTGTGAAAGGCAAGCACTTGCGATGTGAATTAGGCGGAATTTTATAACACATTACATTATCATCCATTATGGTTGCATTGAGATTAGAACCGACTGAAACTTATTACTTAAACATTTTGCTTATTCTGCTTCATTTACTTGCGCTCATCGCACTTCTCAAAAAGCATTTAATTTTCTTGGCAGCAGCAGTACACACATGCGACTCCATCATTGCCAATGATGGTGCCGCTGCCGCCGCCATCAAAATCCATTCGAGAAAGAAAACCAATCCCAAGTAATTATTTCGTCTGGCTAGTGTCATGCTCCATTGTATCGAAGCGACCAAATGTTGTGCGTGCGTATGTACGAGTGCGAGAATACGTTGCTGAAACCATTGAATCGATTAGTTTATGAATATAATTATTATCGACTAATCTGTTCATGCAAGCTGAACAAGCGTTTTTATGGACATCTCTCCAAATGTCTTTGCAGACATATGCTTTTGAGTTCACTTTATACAAATCGCTCTTTCTCTTCATCTCTCTCTGTATATCTCTTGTTTCATCATGGAGTTTCGATGTCATTTATGCTGGCAAAATTAACACGACAGTAAGTGAAATTGAGATCGAGAGAAAGGGCGAGTGCGATTGTAAGAGATTTTGTTGTGATTTTCTCTGAAAATTCAAGTGATTATCAAATGCTAAATTATGTAAAATAATTATGCATTACTTTGAAACATGAATTAAAGATGTGCACATGAACTAAACTCGTTAACGACAACAACAACAGCACCGATGTGTAGAATCTAATCAGCTGCAGATATGATTTTACATTACATTATTATCTTCAAAGCGGTGGAGTTTCGATATTCATCGATTCATTTCAGTGTGCCATCTCCTCTTTTTCATATTTGATTTTAATGACAAAATTTGTTGTTATCGAGTAGATATTGTGTAACATGGCTTTGCTGATTTTTATCTTAATTTTAAGATGGATGAATGTTCTCTGCTCCAAAATACACTCAATTAATGTAAATTCATTTAACAATCAGTGTTTTGGGGAAGTCACTTTTTTGGGTGAGTCGATCATATTTTCCGCCCCAAGTAATCTGAACGATTCCATAACATTATTCAATGTGCCCGTATATGCCGAGCTCCCAATTTCTCGACACATACGTCTGTTGCTAATGGAAATAAGATGTGTTAGAACTTGTGATGCATGGCAACGATAATGTTTGTCACAGATCCAAATGGTTGCCAAACCAAGCATATTATGTGGAACACATATCGGAAGTGAATGTCAATGAGTTTGAATAAAAAAAAAGAATCGCAATGCGTCAGTAAAAATCAAAGAATTCCACATGTCAAGTACATTCGACTTCATAAATATTTGCTGAATTAATTAACATGGAAGGCAATGGAAGCACTCAAGCAAAATCCATCAAACAAATATGTGTTCACCTGTGACGCATCTCAATGCTCACTCATCTTTCCGTCGCCTCACTTTCGCCGTGTGTGTAATGAGTAATTATTTTCTCTTGGCAAATGCAGATTAGTGTGAACGAATGCGAAATACCATATACCGTAATTTAATCTAATTTATTTATGTGAATGAAGCTGAGCTAGTTTTTGTGTTGTGCGCGAGCGCTTGTGTGTATGCTGGTAGAAGTAGTTTTTATGTATGCCATTTGATCCTATTTGACTAATTAATTAATTCACTATTTCATGCCATTAACTAACCAATGTGTGTTGTGTTTTTTTCTTCTTCTCTTTTTCTTTCATTTCTATCGCAATGCTCTTCAACATTTGTGCAATCAGCAGTTAGTTCGATGAAACCAACATACGATCCGAATAATTGTATTCTGGTACAAGATGTAAAATCGGTGACACATGATCACATAAGTCAAAATTCCGATGGACCAACAGCCTCACCAACCGAAGAATCATTGCTAACAAGTACGGCCGAACATAATAGCTACACGACTCAACAGCAGCATACATCACAAGGAACGAATGGTGTGCAAAGTAGTTTATCGCAACTATATCAAGATCCACAGTCAATTGCACAGCAGGCACATCAAACCCAACAACAACAGCGTCCAGTGCTTGAGCTTCGTGAATTCAATGAACAGTATCATGCAACAATACCACCATATCAATTTTGGAATTCGGAATTCAAGAATAAGCATCCAGCATTCATTCGAATCAATTTCACACTTCCGTGGGGTGCAAATTTTGCGGTTTATGGTCGTCGTAATGTGGCACCAAGTGTTACACAATACGATTTTGCTGAATTCATCAAGGGCGGACGCGTTGATAATCGACTACGACGTCGTCGTCGTAGCAGCAGCAGCTCCACCACAAAACCAATTGATAATGTTAACGAAAAAATGTTACTCGATATTCACAATTACTACGAACACACCAAGGATATGTTGGACGATGAAAATGGTAAAAGTGAAATGCATTCAACACCAATGCCATTACATTATGCACAACAAAGTATGGGTATAAATCATAATGACATTCAATCGGATATTTCGATATCGGCACACAATGGCCAACATCATTTCGATGGAACATCAGCACGTGACAGTTTTACTGCCAATTTCATTCGAGACAATTTACATTTTTCATCGGACGAAGAGCATTTGATATCGAAACGTTCGGCCATCGATGCGGCCCCATCACTTGACATGAACACCATGATGGTGAATGTTAGCTTATTACAATATCTCGATACTGGACGCTGGTTTTTATCCGTTTACAATGACGAATTGTTGGCACATAGTGTCACACTAATTGTTGGCGAAGCCGAAGGTGTCAGTACAACATGTCCGAACGATTGCTCAGGACGTGGATCATGCTATCTTGGTATGTTCCAGTAATATAGAATTATTAACATATTACTTAATACTTACTACTCACGAATGCCTTATTAACTATTAAGACCAATCATAATACGCGTATCAACATGAGTATTAAGTATTATGATATCGAAGTTGATACGCGCCATTTTCAATTTTACATGGATTTTTATATGACACTCTCGGAGACTCGGTATAGAGCACAAAAAATGAAAAAATACTCTCGTTTGTATGAAAATCCACGCAAAACCACAAATGGCGCGTATTAAGTTCGGTATAGTGAATAGCATCCTAATAAAATATCATCAAAATACAATTGTATTAACATATCGTTAATCGGTTTGGCACATCTATAGGTAAATGCGACTGCATTGACGGTTTTCAAGGTGTCGATTGCTCAAAAAGTAAGTAAAATTCACTTTTTTCTTGTATTTCATTTGAAAATAAGCTTTGTGGAATTGTTTTTGATCCAATTTTTGTTTAATTATGAAACCCGCAAGAAAATCCATCAAGCGTTAAATTAGCCAAAGCGACCCCCCATCATACGATGACGTTTCGATGATTGCATGTGTGTGCATTTCTCAATTTCCTTCATACGTTCGCCTCCATATTTTACTATTTGCACGTTCCCCAATTTAATAACATTAAAGATTAAAATCTTTCGATGTGAAGAATCATTGATTGAATTTCGAGATAAATTTTTAGCTCTGTCAACCCCAGACACACTCATACTTATTTTCCGGCGAAATGTATCAGCATCGCTCTTCGCTCCAACAATGAACAATGTGTTTTTGATGAAGAAAATGCTATTAAATCCAAAATAAATGAGAAAATGAGCGCAGTCTGAATTTGGGTTTACGAAGCGCGCTGATGATATTCGAAATAGGATTGAAACTGCGTATTATGTACTTATTGATGGCAGATTATATATTAATGCGAAGATTCATTTATGTAACTATGAAAACAAAACGAAAAATAAGTATCAAATCTCAGCCATGTCGTTAGCTGAACAATTTTTCCCATATTAAAAGCATATGGGGATGCGTACGTGGGTGGTATGACACCGATATCAATATCGAATGCAAAATGCAATTGAATTTGAGAGAAAAAAAATGACAGATTACATTACTCTTAATGCCCTCGCATAACGAATACAAGAGAGCAATTTTTAATTAGAAAAGTAGAGAGAAAAAAATATCAACGGTATTTAATCTTGACACTGACGTGCGATAACCGGACGATGCAGAAGGATTCAAAGGGAGAAATAAAGAATGCAAATGACAAAAATGAAGTTAACACACGTCGTCGCCGTATTTATCAAAAAGTGAACAAGCGTTGTTTGGATATGGGAGATTGGGAGATGGGAAAAAAGAATGAAAGAGATGAAAAGCGAAACGTAGATCTAATTAAACTAAGCCAAACATGAAAGGGTTATAATCCCTGCTGTGTATGCATGACTTTGCTGTCTGGCATCTCATTCACAACGGTATCAAGTGGAAAATGATGTAGTTTTATAACATTTTTCTTGTTTCTCGTCGTTTCATTTTTTTTTTACTCTCGTTTTTGTTCTGTATTCAATTTAGCACAATGAAAAGTGACATGTTTACTCAGCAGTGGACGAACAATCGGCCTTATCATCTGTGCGCCCCCGTCAAAAGCCTCTTTGTAATTGTTTTTTGAAAGAGCAAATTATTTCTGGCAGGGTTCTATCACCGTCGCATTTTTTCTCATCTCTCTTCTTCATTTTGTGCTCCGAAATGCATTTTCTTTGGTGACACTGGCAAAATAATTACTTTTCTGAACAATTTCAATCAATGCGAAGAACAAAAAAAATCTATATTGTTAAAAGGTCTTTTTTTTGCGCGCACACAACACGCACACAACAATTTTTTCCATCCATTTCATTTTTATTACATTTATGTTTTCAATCGATTTGTCCAACGAAAAAGAGAATCGCTTTGAAATTCAGTACGTGCCATAAAGGCAGAAGAACAACACAAAACAAAAAATTGACGAAAAATATGTGTATTTTCTGCCATTTAGTGCTTTGCCATTGAATCCTCTATCCGTGATATTTTCAAAGTTAAATTGATTGACAAAAAGTGTGTGTATATGTGTGGGAACATCAAAAAGTGTCCGGTTTTTGCAACCCTCTTGTGTTTCTTATCTTTTGTTTAAACGAAATGCTCGTCCCATATATAGAGAGATTTTTCGTTGTTTTCTCTATTTGAGAAAACTTCGAAAGAGAGAATGATGTTAAAATCCATTGTGTTATCGTTGGATTGTCGTTTTTCGTTGTGCCCGGACTAGTATTTCATAGAGAAATAGAGACTCCGTCTTGATGCTGTTTGTTCGGCTAGAAGCTGAAATTCAATTACCCCAATTTCCGTTTTGTCGTCTATTCGCATCGATTCGATGGCTCTTTGCCGTCTCAGCTTGAGCATATATTTTTTTATATATGTCGAACGAGAAAGATGCGATGCGAAGCATTACAAAGGCAAACAAAAAAAGTCACAATAAAAATCAATCAAAATACAATTTTTCTATTCATAACTCAATTTTTGTTGATTTCGAAGTGAGTGTGAGTGTGGAAAATTGGAAAAAGAGCATGTATATATCGTTGAACTTAGAAGTAGATTAGCAAGATGCTTGAAAATGTTCGGGCAGAGTGAAAGAGGCGTCACAAAAATGGTTACATATGGATTTAAAATTGTCTGTGCCGTTTTTTTACAAATTATTTTTTTGAGTGTAAATTTTTGCTTTCCACTTCACAATAAAACGCTCCTTTCAGACACATCGAATCTTTGTTTGGTGTCTGTGCCACAGCAAATTTACTTTCAAATTGATATTTTCATATATTTATTCGAATTTTTTTCATTTCTTTCAGGCGTATGTCCCGTTCTATGTTCTGGGCATGGAACTTACGGAGGTAAGTGAAATTAGATTTGTTCTCTTTTACTTATTCATTTAAATATACGGAAATCTTCTACAATCTTGACTATTCAGGTGGAATGTGTCACTGTCATGAAGGTTACAAAGGTGCTGAATGTGAAATCCCAGCAGGAGAATGTCAAGTGCCAGGTTGCAATGGAAAAGGTCGATGCATTGAAGGAGAGTGTCATTGTAATCGGGGCTTCAAAGGAAATGACTGTTCTGAACGTAAGTTTTTTTTTGTCCATAGTTCATAATGTAAATCACATCTTTTTCTTGTCACTTTTGTTAGAGAGCTATTCAAATTTTCAATTGTGATTTTGTTTTCAGCCGACTGTATGGATCCAACATGTTCTAGTCATGGAACCTGTATCAATGGACAATGTTTCTGTAAGCTAAACTTCCTTTTTCTATTGAACTGCACACTCTATTATTAACTATTTAAATCGATTTTTTTTAAACACATTCAAACGAGTTCATTGTTACTATTTGCAGGCAAAGCTGGATGGCAAGGAGAAGACTGTAGCACCGTTGATCAACAAGTTTATCAATGTTTGCCAGGTTGTTCGGAACGTGGAACATACGATTTAGAAACTGGCACTTGTATCTGTGACCGTCACTGGACTGGACCAGATTGTTCTCAAGGTAGATTTTCTTTTTCAGTTAAATCTCATTATGCGCTGCTTGTGAGTTTGTCCATTTCAAATTGAATTTCAAGCACTTTTTTTCGTTGAGAGGAAAAAGAGAATTTTTGCGGTATGGAAATCGGATTTGAGCACTTTCTAAAAAAAATAGAATTAAAAGATTTACATCATAAATATTCAATTTTTCATCCGAATGAAGGAAAATCAACGGTTTTTTTATCTTTCATGTCTTCTTCGAAATTCGTACATTTCTTAATCTCAACCATCTATGGGATACTGCGGTTCGACATTTCACATTCAAGTATAAAATTTCGGGTGCAAAATTTAAATGAATTTTTCGCATGGTCGCACATTGGTTTTCCATTTTACATTAGTGCCCCCGAAAAATCGCTTAGCAACCGCCAACCTTAACGTATCACATCAAAATGTTGGCACTAACGCAAACAGGCCACCATCATTTTCGAAACCACGAGATCGCAAACCTCTTGGATATTACCACTGTAATGGGTACGCTCATGATGAATTTTATGTCGAACCAAATGTAAATGCTCAGTCGAGAGTGAGAAAAATAGATATGCAAACATTAATAACCCAACGAATCATTTTAATACGAATATATTCATTTATCGAGTGTGTCATAATTTTTCGTTAAAAAGTTTACTAATTCATCGTTATGGGCATGCGGCAGATTCGTATTAATATCGCGCGAAATTTACTATCACACCGTAAATATTAAGCGAATATAAATATAAAAAAATACATTTCTCTCTTGTTCAAGATGAGCGCGCGGGCAATATAACAACGCGAAAAAGAAGTGCATTTGTTCAGCTCGCAAAAGAATACCATATAATTTTTGTCATCGTTTGCCATAAAACATATTCCATTCGTGCTGGCAAATGATAACGAACCATAAAATTGAAGAGAAAAACAGAAAGAGCGAGCCAGAGAGAGAGACACGCACATCGCACACTTCTACTCTCGCTCGCTCAGTTTAACTCATCGTATAACAAATGAAAAGTTTTACGATCGACCATAGTAAAACGTGCACGTGGTTAAATAGATTTATCACATATTTTTTGAATTACTTTTTACGTTGGGGCTGCTGACGTTGCCATCCCATCAATGCTCGTTTTGAAGAATATATATTCAATCTGTAACCATTTTGTATGTTATTGCAATTTTCAGCTCTGATTTTAATGGCCTTTCTGCTTTTGCACACACACACACACAGACACACAAACCAACCGTGCCAGTATGTGTTTAAGTGAATGCAGTGCCTGAATTTTGATCTGCACCTTCAAAACGTGAGATGTTCACTTTAACTTTTTCAAGAGCCATCAAATTCAAAGAAAATGCATTCGAAAGCGCAGCAATAACTTTTAAGTGTGTGCACACACACTATATTTAGCATATGGTTCTCTCTCTCTCTCACACACTCCCTGTATCTGACCATTTGGGATTGAGTATGTGGTTTTTGCGTATGTCGATGCCCAATGTAAAATAGTTGTAATTACTTTTCATATATGTCTACATGATCGACCAATCCAATGCCATCAAAATAAATGGATATGCTCTAGAATAAACTGGCATTGCAATTGGAGAGCGAGAGCGAGAAATTGTGGTTTTTATAGATCATTTTATCCACATTGTAATAGCGGCCAGTGCACCATATTGCTTAATAAAAAATCGGTTTAACGAGACACACCACAAAAAACTCATAACTATAATCAAATGGAGTTACACTTGACCCAACTGTGCGGTGTTGCACATCTTCTAGCTATTATTTTCATTTTTCGGCATTTACATTTATTTAGTAAAATTTACTTAAACTAAAACTCATTCAATCTCTTCCTCTTTCGGCTCAAACTTGAAACTTTTGCATTTTATCTACCTTTTGCATTGAATATAGTGCTCAATGTTGTGTGCGTAATAGGCTGATAAGAACAAGTTCAATTCACTTAAAATAAGCAATTTTATAGGAAGATTTAGCACTTGCCATTATTTGTGTTTCTTCCCTCTCTTTCTGTCTCTCGAATTCTTGTTTTTCTTTTTCAATTAAATGTTATTACTCAAGTCGTTCGAGTATACAATGTTTCGTAATTCGATCGAATTTTATGGCATATCAAAAATAAGCGTTTGTCATCTCGCATCTCGAAGGCCCATCATTGGCTACAATGACAAACGATATCGCTTGTAAATTTATTATCAACATAAAATGTGTGATGTGCACCTCTGTTGTACACATGCATCTCTCTACATACAACAATGTCTTATCCGCTTCAAAACCGAACACATTTATCTTCTTTAATATCCGATGTGATGACCAGTATTTATACGCTTGATTTAATAATAAAAAAGCGAAGGCAAACGCAGAGAGCTATTTAAATTTCTTTAGCCCTATTTACAATCATCGAATGACATTTTATGTCACCCTTTAAATTTAATTACTCACGAATATCGTGCGATTGAGATAAAAGCGGGATAATAAAACGCAGCAATATTATTATTTATATGAATGTATGTGGCTATTTTCTTATTCAATTTTTATGTTTGTACAGCTGTTTGTAGCTTGGACTGTGGACCAAATGGAATTTGTGAGTCCGGAAAGTGTCGCTGTAATCCGGGTTATGTTGGAAATCTATGCGATCAATTGCCATGCGATTCAAGATGTGCTGAACACGGTCAATGCAAAAATGGCACTTGTGTCTGCTCTCAAGGCTGGAATGGACGTCATTGCACGTTGCGTAAGTATATAAAAAAAATATAGTATATTTATATCAAAAAAATTTCGATTGAAATTCAACACAAAAAGAAGGGAATACCATAATGTCGCGTCAGCATTTATAAAAGGCTATTTCTTGAAATATTTTTGAGCAATGCTCCCTTTTTTCTGATACACTTTAAAAAGAAAATAAAATGCGTGAGACACATATATTCAAATCTAAAAGAGATTCAGAGGGCCAACGAAACGGTAACGCCAACGGAATTTTTCGCAGCTAAAAAAATATCACAACATAGACCAATAAAACAAAGAGAGAAAAACATTCTGTTGACAGTTGACACTTGAAATAACTTTTTCGAATTTGTTGGAATGTTTGTAAAAATTCAATAGAGATAAAGTCCTAAGAGAGCGCAACTCTTCGCCAATTCGATTTTTCGTTGTATAAAAACGGTCGCCGAAACGCAATGCTAACAACCCGACGAACGAACAAAAAAAAAAAGTGTTGGTTCACACAAACTGTTCTCCGAGGACCAAAACGAATAGACACATAAAAGACAGGTTCCGAGAAAAGGTTTCAAAGACATTGTAAATTCAAAACAAAAGCAATTGCTTTTGAAAATTTCGTCGCCGAGATAGAGAAAAGAAGCGACTTTCAACTTTTTTCCTAGTTTCATTTTTTCCTGGAATTTGCAACTTTTTATATTTTTGCCCATTCTTTTCGACGCTCATGGGCGTAAAATTATCGCAAGTGTCTCGAAAATCTATTTTCATCTCTTAATGCGATGTGATTATCGGCATGATTTTATTTAACTTTCCAGTCGATTCGTAAGGCTTTGAATTTATGTTCATGCGTTTTCAATTGCTGATTAACAGCTACGAACGCAAAATGATTACCGCTCAAACGGTAACATTTTCAGGATAAGCTCGACACAAAATCACATTGTTTTTCCCGTTTTTTTGCAGTCTTTAGACATGTAGAAATGTATTCACTTTTTTTCAATCGAACTTATTTTGCTTTCTGTTTCACTATATTCACTCGATTTTTTCCCCTTTTTTTCTTTCTCGCTGTTCGTTTTTTTTTGCACATCAATTCCCTGAAGCTGGTTGCGAAAATGGATGTTCGCGTCATGGACAGTGTACACTTGAGGACGGCGAATACAAATGCGTGTGCATCGAAGGCTGGTCTGGTCCCGATTGCTCCATTCAATTGGAAATGAATTGCAACGATAATATTGACAATGATCATGGTAAGTTTATCGCTTTGGTTTCAGTCTCAACATCTCTATTTTTCAACCGTTCGCATACACCGTACCGACGAAGCAATACAAAATAGAAAAATAGAAACTACAACAACAAAATAGAATACGTAGAGTTATGGTATGTGCTTTGAATTGGGCTTTAAGGTAATTTAATGTATTTGCTGTTCATACGTTTGCAGGCGTGCTTGTCATTTATAGGCTTTCGAATGGTATAGAAAAAAAATGGCGAAGCTAAATTTGTTCGTGTCCATTGAACGAAACGAATTTCGAACGCCATTGAAATGCAAAATAGTTTGAATTACTTCAGAAATGTGGCCTGGTCATATATTCTTTTCGGTGGCAAGGCGGACCGAATGAATGTCCAATGCGAAAGCCAATAAAGGTGCACTTTGGTTGAAACAAATTATTTATGCAGAACACGTCATTTTTCCTTTGGCATTGTTTCCCGTGTATCGTACGATTCGCGAAAAATCATAATGGATCTTTTTGGTTAATTTTAATGCAGTAAAAAATGCTCGAACAATGACAAAAATGTCTCTTTTTTGCATGCAAATGTTTTTTCTGTAACGAATGGAAAATTGAAAATTGTTTGCGAATTGCAATTTAAAAAAAAAGGATGAATCGATGGCACATGCACACAAGAGAAAAATGACAAAAAATTTGGAAGAGACCAAACGGAGAGAAGAAAACGAGAGTTACACAAAACTGGAACGAACGAGACAGACGGAGAAAGTTACATCCGTTTTTTCAGTCACATTGTTTGCGTCAATGCGAAACGTGCGTGTCATAGATATTTATGTCAAACTGCATTTTGCACGATGCATCCATAGATGAGAGACCGAAAATTTTTAATTTTTTTTTTTGCTGCTTCGAGGGCGAAAAAATGACATTTACTCTATCGGGATTTCTCTCGTATTTATTTTTCCGCTGGACGAGCACAATGCTTACTCTCGACGACTGTTTATTTATGTTTCTACGGTTATTTACCTGTTTTTGTTCAACTGCTCTCTCTCTCTCTCTTGCTCCTGCTTTTACACTCTCTTCTCTCCAGCCAACTCTCTAGGCTTCCTTTGCTGTAGTTGACAATCCATAATCCATAATAAACTGATGATAAATTTTTTTTGCGCTCCGCAATCGAACCAATGACATGACGAAAAAGTGGAATAAATTGAATTTGCGATCAGATGACCTGGATATTATTTTTTTTGTCTGCACGACATCATCAATTCAATAGAGAGATTGTACGTTGCTTTTGCCTGGTTTACATAATAAATAGCGCAAATGCATCAAATCTGCAAATAACGACTATTATAATCAAAATGAATCACGGTAAAATTTCATCCACAAATATGGTCCAAAGCGCATTGAAGCTTTGGCTCACCGATTAACCCAATTAGACATGAGCGATGCAAAGCATAGCATTCGGCATTCGCATAAAATTCAATCATCTAATGGATTTGCAGTGTTTTTGAGAGAAAAAACCACGGACGAATGAATGCATAGAGATATTCTAAAGGGAGAACTCATTAAATTCAATCAAAATATGTCGAGTACGCGTAAGAAATGCACTTCGATATGAATAAATTTTCAATTTCATTTGAAATCTTCATTCATTTTTCGGAGAATGAAATTCTCTGGCTGATATATTCATCATCGACAATTTGTCATCAAATATGAATGAGTGTTTGTCTTCATAAAATCCTTTACAATTGAACTGATTGCATATCATTATGGCAGCCGAGTATAAATTAATCATGATTCACCGCAATGATTAAAGTAATAGGCGTACACAAAAACTATTGCTCCCTGAAAGTCGTTCTAATCTACTTCAAACGTGGCGAAAATCTGTCGCCATGTTTTATACCACATAATGAGCACTTTCAACAAAATTATGTACTATTTGTGCGGAGCACTTCATATGGAATTCATTTGAAACACACATCTTTCTGCTTTCGATATGTGCGCAATCCAAACAGAGGGGTTGTAATGGATTTTTAATATCGATTGATTTATATGTGGCTTTTCTGCATTTGTGGTTTTTATTTAATTCGCGAATTTAGACAATCGACAACGTAATTTTTTGGGGGAAATCCATCTCAAAAAATGGTAAACGGAATAGTTATTTTGTCATTAATTTCAATTTAAAATGCGTCGCAACCAACATCAAACACAAGTTGCCTGATTAAATATTTACGGAGTGTTTTACTTCCGATTTCGTTTAAAATCTCGTTTGTCTGATTTGAAAAGGATTGGCCAATCAAAATGATATTTGTATCAAATTACCGTGATTATCGGCGAACAAAGGTGCATTTCAAGTAGTTGAAACTTTCACTTTGTATATTTTTTTAAGGTATGAACTTTCCCCTTTTTCTCGCTATTTTTCCCTTTCTTCGTACTACAATTTTGTTCTGGAATTGAAAAACTCGTATATCGAAGAAGAAACCGAAAGCATTAACTTTAGAGCCCAATTAAACGAAGATAAAAACGGTGAATTAATTGATTAAAAACGGTGATTTTATTCAGGAAGTGAAATCGAGCGCCTTGCGCTATTAAAATAAATGATCGGTTATACAAAATTATTGACTTACATAAAAATGGGCGCAGTTAATAGGCCATACATATGCGTGCCCAATTAAATTGATGTAATTTTTTTTATTCAAAAATAGATGGAATGACCGATTGTTCGGACAGTGAATGTTGTTCGCATCCAATTTGTGCGGAGCATATAATGTGTTTGGCATCGAATGATCCAGTCGAGGTATTATTGCGTAAGCAACCACCGTCAGTGACCGCCTCCTTCTATCAGCGCGTTAAATTCTTAATTGAAGAGAACTCGGTACAATCGTACGCTCACATGGATGAATACAGTGAAAGGTGAGTCATTTCTGATTTCCATGTTACACACGAAAACCAAAAAAACACCCTCGAGTTGTTGCCGTTGATTTTAATTTTCGATTTTTCATTTGTATTGATTTTTAAGTTTTGTGTTTTTTTTTCTCCATTTCAATATATTAAACTGAAACTAAACGAAAACATACACATTTTTAACAAATGGTTAGGAAAACGAATTATCGTTACTTTTATTGTTGCTTTTAAGTTTGCCAGTTGATTTAGAATTTTTTTTAATTAAAAAATAAAAACCAAACTAACCAAATATAAAATAACAACGTTGAATTAGTGGAATACAAATTTATCGAATTCGAAAAAATCCTTAACTATATTTTAAATGAACTGTAGTTGAATGAGGAAAATAGTGTATAACAAACATTTAAAATCTGGATGAACATCTGAATTAGGCAAATCTACCATTTTCTACAGTTGACATTTAATTTTAATCTGGTCACATATACTATATTTACATATGTCCTACTCTTAGTTGTTTCATTGAACGAACTTTTCTTCTCAATTTAGAATGAAATTTTGTTTTATTTTTTGATTAAATATTCGAATTTTGTGTTTGATTAAACTCAACATCAAATAATGCAAAACAATTTCAAATATTCGTTCTGGTTTTTCCGTTGTGTTTCTCCTTTGTTTGGCCAATTTTATTGTTCGATTTTTGATTAGATACTGTATAAACATTTTCCGTTTGATATTGTGTTTTTGTTTTCCGTTTGCAATTTTTCGGTCTTGTTAAAATTGTGTGTTTTGCTGTTTATTGGTTTCAATTTTCACAATTCGATGTGAGAGCGCGTTGCTTGCGCTCGTTCGTCTCGATTTATTTGTTGTGTGTCGACACAATTTTTGATTATTTTCAATTGATTTTGTGATTTATTTTCAATTCTCGTTCATTTCGGCGCTTAGGCAAAATTTGTTGCGCAAAGCAAATGCATTGAAATGTATGTGTGCGTTTTTTTACATTGCCGTGATGTTCACATTTCAATGCGTGTGCAATGCGCGGGCATTTTTTTCCTTTTGTTCGAAAATCATAGAAAATTGAGGGAAATCGATAAAACTGTTCGTTGATTAGAAATGGAATCGGCACATTTTTGTTTGCTAAGTTTGAAATTAAAAACGTAAATTGTTAATAACAAACCGGTTTTCCATCTCTATTCTGCCGTAATTGCTGAGGAGATGGCAATTAAAACCACGAATGAAACACAAAAATGAAACAAATCGAATCATAAATAATTATTTTGTAAGCAAGTCTATCATCACACGCAGGAAGTAAACATTAGTGCAAATCACGATGGTGTAATTAAAAGCACTATATTTAATGTTCCGTCATCACAATCGGCCCCGTGCTTTATTCACATAATTTTCCATCTCGCCCACACACACACGCGCGCGCACCTTTAACAATACGTTTTGTCGTTAGATAATTTCAGGTATTATGTGTTTGGTGTAATTAAATCGTTGTTTTTCCTCGAATTTATTTTTTTGGAAATTAAACGGTGAAAAAAGCACGGTCCGATTCACGAGTATGGAAAATGTTATAAACTAATACGTCTATTTTAGTTTTTCATCGAACAAAAACCAAGTTATATTATAAATACAACGACAAATTTTTTTTCAATAAAAACGATATAAAATAATAATTTTTCACCTGAAAATGAACCCTTGTCCATACGATCGCTCTAATTCATTTGCTGGCTCATTTCGAAAAATAATGCAAAAAAACTTTTTTGAATCGTAATTTCATAGGATTGAATGTAAAAATTAATTTTTTTGATGGTCCCGGAATGAAATGAACCAGTAAATGTTTTGGGGCGTCTCGTTTTTGTGTGTGTATTGTCTAATATATTTCCACCATTTGTGCTCGTCTCAAACCTAATTCCATTTCCCAATCATCCTGTGCCCTTTGTTCTCTCAACAAAAAAAAAAAACTAAACATCATCAGCGATCATGATTTTTATTTAAAAAAAAAAAAAACACTTTTAATCGACCGAAACAAAAACCGAATTGCAATCAATTAGTAGATTATTCAGGATTCAGTGCACATCAATAAAAGACCAAACGAACCGACCGGATTTTTGATTTCGTTGCACATTTCTTCTTTGCAGCAGATATATCAATCGAACTGAAATTTAATTCGCTTGATCAGCTACTTTGATAATTCTTCTTCGGATTGTTCGATGATTTAAGTTTCGTTTTATTGTTAAAGTTTTGAATAAATATTCGTCACACTCACTGTTTCATTCATTTTCGTTTTTTCCAAGCAGAAATATTTTCGTGAATGAATGACTTCAACTTAAAATGAGAATGTTTTTCATAACAACAAACTCTCGATCGTTCAAATAAAATCTATATGAAAGTTCGATTGAGCAGCGCGCATTTTAAGATGAAACTATCTCAATTTGAAGATTCGAACAATCTATTTGTTTTGCCCATGGACTTTGCAAACAAATCGAACAATTTTCGAGTTTTTCGAATGCCACGTTTTCGTGTATAGTCAAGCCCAAAAAATTTCTATTATCGTTCCAAATATTCTTATTATTCTTTTTGCGATTTGTTTACAAAGATTTTGCCAAAATATTCCCATTTCCTTGCAAAACTATTCGGGAGTGCTGTATGTGTATATTTTCACTCATCTCTTTATTTATTCGTCTGAAATTTTTCTGCATACACTTCTTTTGGCTGTGCGAATAACGGTTTCATTCTGAATAACTTTCGATTCAAGCGAAACGAACGAGGAGGAATGGCGAAGGAAAAAAAATTGAATGGAAAAAGAGCTGAAATTGAAACGAGTTATCTTGTTATGAAACAGAATCGAAATGAGATTCAAACGTACGATGCTACAAATTGAAGATAATTTTCGTTGGATGTGCATGAAAGCGGATAAGAAGAGAAACCGTCCCGATGAAGAAGTCGGAGAGCACGAGGTGCAAGGAACGAAGAATGAAATTATGCTGTCTAATATTATTTATGATGCGCGCCGACATTTTCGTTTGCTAATAAAGCAATAATAATGCAATCAACTCATATGATATACGATTTGTATACCTTTTCTTCGCATTGCTGACTCTGTTTATATTGAACTTGCATGGTATTTTCTAAAGTGTTATTCGTAACAAGCTACTTCCTTGTTCAGTTAATTTTGTCGTATTCTTTTTCTTCGTCTCCCTTTTATCGCCATATTGAATGTGCAATGAATGAGCAGAAAAAAATGCCTCTGAAATTTCATCTTCAATTCGTTTTACATGTACAAAAGCTCAAATCAAATGCAAATGCATTCTTTTTTCGCATGACATGAACGGTGTAAATAATAAATGCACTCGTGTACAAGTTAATCAAAAGTAATATAAGATAAGAGAGAAAAAAGAACTGAATGAATTGCATACGTTTTCTGGGCTGAATACGGATATGAAGCTTATCGTTTTTTTTTCTAGCCACTTTCACACCCCCATTCCGAACCCGTACGTAATATTTGGAATCTATCACATGTTGAAGGGCTGCAAACACATGAATCATGACTTGGCGAATTCAACCGTGGCAAATGCCGACATTTTCTGAATAAAAATTCAACACAAATTCCATTCAACCAGAATGAAAAAAAAAATAACTAAGTGACAAATAATGAATAACATTCATGTGACGTGTTGGAAAAATGTGTTTCTGATGAAAAGTTCGAAATAATGTACGCTCTTAAATTGCATCGCATTCATTGGGAATTGATTTAAAGTTGCTGATGTTAAGTGGCGAGGGAACGAAGAGCTTGTATGTGTGCGAGAGAATAAAATGCAATGAATCATTTAATATCCGTTGCAAAGGCGTATGTTAGCAGCGTTCAAGAAATCAAAAATCCAATTCGTTCGTTCTCGTCTGGGGTATATTTTTTTCTTTTCGGTGTTGGTGTTGCTGCAACTGCAAAACTAAATAAATAATGAACTTATCGATTCAACAAAAAAGTGAATGAAACTATTTCTTTAGCTTTTAGTATAAAATATCTTAGAGTTAGGGGTGATGTCTTCAGTAGGGGCTATACAATCATTTCCTTTATTTGTTCTCTATCTCTCTTCACATTCCACTATTTGATCATAATTTGTTCGTCGTTTTTTTCATTTTCACGTTTCGTTTTCTTTATTTTGATATTTGCTGCTGTTGCTGCTGCTGAAAACAAAAATCAATCAAAAACTTTGCGTTTTTTCTTCGGTTGCTTCTTCTTTTCACTTTTTTCCATGCACACAATCTGTCTTTTCCTGTGTTTTTATGATAATACTATCATCCCTTAGCATCAACATCATCATTATTATCATTACTTTTCTCTTTTCGAAGTTTTTTGTTCGCTCATTTCCCCGACGTTTCACTTGTTTTTTTTTTGTTTCTTCTACTGCATTTCGTTGCCTTTCGTCTTCTTTTGTGTATTATTATTAAATCAATGAGTGTAAGTGCAACGTCATATTTTTGGCCGAATAAAAATGCGAAAGAGAAAAGCGAGTGTCTGATAATGCGATGTAAGTGTAGGTACGGCAAAATGACGATGTGCATTCAAATCGATCGGGCTTTGATACTTTTTTCCGTTCTTAATTTATTTATTTTTTCTTCTCTACTTCTTCTTCGTTTCGAATGCTTTCTGTTATCATTTTCCCCCACGCACACAAATGGTTTTGTTGTAAGAGAAAAAAAATCAACTCCTAAACTACTGCAAAAAAATTAAATAAATAACAGCGATAAAACTTGATAGACATTTAAAAAAATAAAGACGAAAAAAGGAATCATTTCTTTTGCACAAGACGAAATGAAAATAAGCTACAGGGAAAAAATATGAAAAGCATCTAGAAGTTCAATTACGCTATATATAGAGATAATAATAAAATGAAAATGAAAGAAAATTTGATGCAAACGGTTTTTAAAAATGAAAAAGATTATTATGCGGTAGAGAGAGAGATAAAAAACGCACACAGAACTTAACTAATTTGATAAGAAAAGAAGCTCTAAACACAAACTAGTAAAATAGCGAATGGATGCGATGTGATGAAATGAAATTATATCGTTTTTGTTTTTCGTTTGAGAGAAGTGAATTCAAATCGAAACTGAACTGAATTTTTTTCATTTGCAAGAAGTTTTTTTTTTAATTTTTTGTATCGTGTGTGCGTCGTCCTGATGTGTGCTGTGTGCGTGTGACTTGTTCGTCCAACATTTTTGATTTTCGTTTTCGTTTTATTCTCTCTCTCACACACACAGATATTTTTTTTCTTTATACAAATCGCTATAGCATATAGCTTTATAAACAATAAACCGAATGTGGTTCGAGTGAAAATGGAAATATTTCCATTTTTGGCTTTTGTGCTATTTTAAAGCAAAACCCAAGATTGTAAATGCAAAGAAAAGTGCTTGGCTCTTATTATTATTCTGATTTTGTTTTTGACGGGAAATAAGATTTCGTACCTAAACATATTCATTTATTTGGACGATTTCTTGAACTATGCAAATTGCAAATGGTGAACTTTGCATACATCAACATTTCAATATGAAAAACACTATTAACCCAAAATGGTGCCATTGCTACTGCTTTCCTGACGAATCACACAGTTCTAGCACAAGAAAGCTCACGATCTCAAACAAATAAAAGCAATTGTCAAGCGTATGCGACGACACACCAAAAAGAAACACCGAGTATGGTGATATTAAAAATGCCAACAATAACAATGAGCCTCGATTGAGGCTCGAGTTGAATAAGTAAACAGGAGTCAGCAACAAACAAAGCAAAATCACAAAAGAACCAAGAAAATATTTCCATTTTCCGGTTGAGCCATTTGATGCTTATCCAAAAACTATTTTTGGCAACGAAAATACACACACAAACACTCTGAAAAAGATTTTATTTTGTATCAAAACAGAACCCATTGACATAGATCCACACAAACCGATATCACACATCTTTGCTTAATGCACCACATACACAACTACACACACACATACACACTTGTACACCATACACTCATCACATATATAAACAATCATAATGTATTGCCCGAAAGAATAAAAAAAACAAGACATAAAGCTCGGTGCTGTGGCGATGAATACGCCGATTGAAGACATAACGAGACCAAAACCCACACAGACACACACCATATTTATCATACAAAACAATACGTTTCCCTTAAATTTAGCATGCAAGTCCAAAATATGCCGAATGGAGCAAAGTCGTATTCGAAACGAATGACATCGTTTTGGAGATGATATAAGAGCGAATGAGCGTACATTACAAAACACGACATCGTATGATAAATTTTATGAATTATGAGAATTGTGATACGATTGACTCGTCCAGAGGACATCCCCTATATATATGCTATTTATCGTTCGATTCAATCTCGCAATGGGAAGGATTTGCGAAAATCCTCCAAACTCAGTTCGCATTCAAATCGAAATTGAGTTTCATTCTCCCATGTCTGGATGGCCATCATGGAAATATGACGAAAAAAAAAACAACAACATGCAACAACAATATGGACGAAAATTCGCTTGCAACATTTGGCACATAAAGAGATATCCTCGGCACATAAATTCGACACGAAATCATTGACCCATTTTAAAAATCGCCGAAAAATTCATCATCAGCCAACAAAACATTTTGCGTCGCGCTCATTTTTTTTCTTTAATTTTCTTCAGTCTTCAATAATTTATGAACGCAAACTATTTTTCCGTCAAAATGAGCGGCAGCAAAGAAATAAACGGAATAAACGACAAACAAAAGATATACAACCAATTACTATGATGCTATTGTCAAAGTGTGCATGAACTATATAATTGATATGAGCAATTAACCTAGTTTCATCAGCAGTGAGAAGATGGGCCAACAAATCTGATCGGCTGCTGCACATGCGACGAAATAGAGAGTGAGAGAGAATGGCAGCGAGAGAGTAATTAATTGTAAGGAAGTTGAGAAATATAAGTCGAAAACATTTAACGACAATGGACACGTAAATGGCACAGATTCCACACGCAGTCGATTAAAATTGTGCGCTGCCACCGTCGCCGCCACCATCGCTGCATTTCAATGCATAATTTCACACATTACACAGCAAGAGTGTAGTCGAGAATATTTTGTTGCAAATGTGAACAATGTCGCCTGCAGTCACATAAATTCTAATGTAAATAGATCTAATTTATTTGAATATATTCGAATAATGGCCATAACCCGATTATTCTCGACGTCGTCGTCGTTGTCGCCGTTTCTCATTTCAACAGCGTTGACATCGCGGTTAATGTTATATTGTGGAAAATTTGCTCATTTCGGAGACAGAGATTAAACTAAAACGGAATTCAGTGTTGATTATCAAAACTAAAGAAAACAATAAAAGATTTTCGAAGGCAGCATAAAAACTTGCACTGTACATGTTCAACTGTGAATTTAATTCAAATAGATTGTTCTCCATTGTAATCCACGTTCGGTTGATTGTAAGCTCGAGCCTGTGATGAAAGAGAGCGTGCGAGATAGACAGAACGGTTCTCATTTACATCTCACATGCTGATATTCATTTGCATACATAGTCATTGTCACTCGTGAATATGGCCCATTTATGCATAGATGACTTTTCGGTATGTGTGTGTCTGTGTATATTCGTGCAAACTCAAATCGAAATAATCATCATCATCATCTATGTATGCGCGACAAATGCAAAGTGCGAAAGCCAACGGAAAATGTTGCCAAAAAATCGTCTAACAACCGAAATTGTTCAGGTAGACATACACACTGTTCTCGGCTCTCTTACTATCTATTTTGTCATATAAGATTTAAATAGCCGTATGAAAACAAATTTCCGAAAGAGAAAATTCGTAATCTTCTGTTTTCCGCACTCTCACACATGCATACATGGCACACAGTAAATTTCCGAAAGAGAATCGTGCTCGGAGTCTCGTTTCCATTATTCATTGCGAATTTTCGGCGACGCCATCAGCACCAGCAGCCACAATGGCAACAACACACATAATACACTTAACCAAACACCCGGGAAAATGTCGCATTCGACGAAATTGCATCTTCACAACTATTTATCCATAATTATAAAACTATTATTTTATGCAAAATAGATGGTGTCACCGTTATGTGTGTTATGTGTCGTTCGGCATGAACATGAGCTTTATAATCATCATGGGCAATGACGATGATTTTGGAGCAGGAATGGAAAGCATCGTTGCAGTCAATTTAGTTGATGGCCATAAATGACTCTCTCTCTCTCTCTCCTCGTTCAACTGTCTCACATCTCTCAGTAGTCTTTCTATTGCTTTGGCTCCGTTAAAATATTTTAGGCAAAAAGCTTTTATAGGCACAACCAAAGCCAACGCTATAAAGTGACGATGAAAGTTTCTTTCATAATCCACTGGTGGCGTGTCAAAATGGAATTTTCCGTCAATTCATTCGCTTAACGTTACAGCACAACTTCAGCTTTAATTTAAAAAAAATTAATCTCACATCTACGAATACATATAAACACACTCCACCTACACAAACACAATCACATCTGATACACATTTTGAACATTATAATCGCTTATATAGGGATATGTCATTTTTGTCTCATTTTAGTTCTTAAAAACTTTCATTTTACTTGATAGAAACTATTTAGAAACATTTATATTGCCAAAAAGAGCTTTTAGTTTGGTCCTTCATTTAATATTTATATATCTATATATTTTTTTTTTATTTAAACGAAAAAAAAAACATAAAAACTAATAATTTAGATGTGTAAAAAAATTGCCACAATGTATTTGGATGGTTTTATTTAGTAATTATTTTTATTGTCCTTGTCTCTTTGTGTCCCTGTTGCTGTGCCGTGTGTGCGCGCCTTCGGTGCCTCTATTGTGTGTCCTAAAAAACCAAAAAAAAAACATTCAATATCAATTTTGAACCAATAAAATCATGTACACACACACTTCATTTATTGCCATAACCAAAACAAAAATGAAAAAAAAACACTCAAAATCCAAACTAAAATCAAACAAAAATAGCGAGTTCTGGAATTCTTTTACACCTGGGTAAGTCAAGAGCCCAACGCAACCAAACAACAACAAACAAAAAAAAACTCTATATTATTTTTCATTCTCATTCTGTTGTTAGTCTGTCCATGAACAAAAAAAAAAACACATTTTTTTTCTTACTTTCTGCAACCATTCGATAGTCAAAATTCTTCTATTTTTGGATACAAAAGGGAAGTCATGAGATGGTTTAATTTTGATAGGATAGTCGAACGAAAAAAAACAAACTTGAAAAAGAAAATGCATTTTAAATTCGATTAAAAGATTAAATCTTCGCATTAACCATGACTTATCGAATGAAAATGGCATGGAAATTAAATCATTTCAATTTCCGTTTTGTATTCCTTTCATTTTGGTTTTTCATCGTTTTGTCTAATTGTGTACAGTAAATTGGATATTTCGAAATTTCATCATCATCATTATTTTCTTATGTTTCCATGATTTTTGGTTCGAAGCTTTCGATACTAGATTCGATTCGTAACCATTCATCTTGCATTTATTATGAGTTTTGTGTCGTGTGTTTATGTCTCCAACCCCCCTCTCATCATTCATTGTTTGATCATTTCAACTGCTCCTCATATCTGTATATGTCATCTTTTGTTTTTTTATATATATATATAAACAGAACCAAATCAATCAGCAATATGTATGTGTACATTGTATTCAATGTTTTTGTATGTTTATATTTATATCTCTATATTAACAAGAACAAAAAAAACAGTCTATGTATATGTGTCTCGTGTCACTTTTGATTTCGTTGTGTTTGTTAGTTCGATTTTTGTTTTCCTTTGGTTTTTTTGACCAAATGACATTTTTGTAATATACATTTTGTATTCCGAAAATCACATCAACACAGGGAAAATTGTATAAATAACACCACACTAAACATTAGCGAATAAACTATAGAAAGTAAAGAGGTGATATGTGTGGCATAGTCACTTTTTGCTTTCATTGTGCATATAGAATTATCACGAATATTCACCAAGAATTGAAAGCAGGCATTGTTTTTTTTTTTAAATCTAGCTGAGATGATAAAAAGACTTCTTTTGTTTTTCTTTTACATTTGTGTTGTGTATCGTATATATTTATATTTATAAAATCCAAAATTGTCTTTGTTCATTCATTTTCATATTTCTAAATGTGTGTCATTATAATTCATTTATTTTTCATTCGAAATTTTCGATATATTTGTTTTATGTTACGATTTCGACCACACAGAAAAAAAAAACAATATCATTTTCCGGGCTCATCGCGCTTTGATATCAAATCCGCAAACATTTTTGTTAAAATGGTTAAATATTTGAAATTCTTTATTTTCGTTTCATATTCACCAAATTTATATATCATTGTGTTTGTCTAACCAAAACCCAATATCTATTTCAATATTTATGTATCTTTTTTTTATTTTAAACGAAAAAAACTGCAATCATAAAGTTAATAAACAATCAAATTAATATTGAAAAATGCTTAAAAAATCCACTAATAAAATCAAAAAGCGAAAAATCCATTGAATAGTGAATGCTTTGAATATTTTAACAGGAAAAATTTCATCGGTTTTCACTATTGAATATAAATTGATGATCGAAATTTACACTATAATAAACAAAAACACATTCAATAAACTAATGATAAAATTTATGTATTAAAAAATGAGTTACAATAGAATTTCTTGGTAATTGATCGGTGAGGTGAACCAAAAATCATTTGTCTGTGTATTGAGAACGATAGTGTTATTAAAGTTGACTGTTCAATCTGAATGAAGAAATTTTTTCATCGCAAGCACCAACATTCTATCTTTTCTGTCTTCAAATCGATTTCAAAATATGCGCAAACCAAATTATGAATAGTTACAATTTTAATGAGATTTTAGCCGGATTAAATTAAATAATCTGATTAATTTGTGCTCGGGGTTGTTGTTTTTGTTGATTACAAGCCATTTTCGTTGGCTGCACAAAATCGTATGAAAAATGTTTCTGTTTATTTGTCAAATGGCAGCACATATAATATGTATCGATTTAAAACCAACTAGTTCGCGCGCAAAACAAACAGTTAGAAGTGCATGTATGCATATTTTAATTGATAATTGATTGCATCGACATTGGATGGCCTGTTATGCAAAATTCTAAACCCAAATATTAATTCGATTTTAATTTCAATGATCAAATAGCAGTGTATTGTTTACCATTTCACACAATACAAAATTCAATTCCCACTAGAAGTGTACAGAAGTTAGGTGTTTGAATTTATTAAATGGCTTTCAATTCAGTGTTTGTAAACACTCACATATCGTGGAATATATCAAGTGTCAAAATAAAATCAACAGCCAAAAAAAAGAATCAACAAAATGTTGACCAATGTTTTAGATTTGAACGCTCTAGAATAAAAACAACTTATTGTTTACTCGCATATCGAAACGGAACTCAAAACGGGTGCATATCAAAGCGAGACAATATTTAGTTATCATAGGAATAGAGAACATTGACTTTTTATTATGCGAAATATGTAAGTTTCATTTTGTGCTGATAACTAGCTACTGTTCTGCCTTGTTTTAGTAACAGAATTTTGTTTCGCTTTGATATGCGACGCAGTTTAACGATATAAATATTTCACACTCTCGAAGGCTCGGTATAGAACACACAAAAAGTGAAAAAAAAACTTCTTATTCTCAAATTTCATATACAATCAAATGGCTTGTACCAGCGATTTTCACTTTTCATGCTCTATACCGAGTCTCCGAGAGCTTCATATAAACTCGCCTTGCAATAGTCAAATGACGCCTATTGATTCCATCACGATTGATATTCGCTTACTATTCAATAGGCATCACATAGCAAGTTTATATGAAACTCTCGGAGACTGGGTATAGAGCACTCAAACAGTGAAAAAAGTCCAGATCGTGATTTAGATGATATGGAATGCGATTTTTTTCATTCTGATTGAACCAGGTGATACAGAAAATTGAGTAGTATTTGAGAATTGAAGAAAAAAAATTTAATTATTTTTTTCATTTTTCGCCAATTTTTACCATCTATATGGGAAGCTTGTATGAAAAACACGGAAGACCGCTGAAATGGCACTGTCGTACGTCCGCACATATTTTGCATTTGTCATCATCTAAATCACGATCTGGACTTTTTTCACTGTTTGAGTGCTCTATACCGAGTCTCCGAGAGTTTCATATAAACTTGCTATGTGATGCCTATTGAATAGTAAGCGAATACCAATCGTGATTGAATCAATAGGCGTCATTTGGCTATTGCAAGGCGAGTTTATATGAAACTCTCGGAGACTCGGTATAGAGCATGAAAAGTGAAAAAAAAATCTAATTTTTTTCTCAATTTTTATGCACAACTAAATAGCCTATATCATCTGGTGCGACTGATTGTAAAAATTTGCTATTTCTGTCACCCAAATCGTTGTTCAATACTATCTAACTCACCCTTACATGTTATTTCTCAATGCATGGCATTGTGTTTACAAACAACGTTCTATTGACACACAACTGCGCAATAAAAATTGCTGATACAATCCATTTGATTGTTTATGAAATTTGAGAATAAGAAGTTTTTTTTCACTTTTTGTGTGTTCTATACCGAGCCTTCGAGAGTGTGAAATATTTATACCGTTAAACTGCGTCGCATATCAAAGCGAAACAAAATTCTGTTACTAAAACAAGGCAGAACAGTAGCTAGTTATCAGCACAAAATGAAACTTACATATTTCGCATAATAAAAAGTCAATGTTCTCTATTCCTATGATAACTAAATATTGTCTCGCTTTGATATGCACCCGTTTTGAGTTCCGATTCGATATGCGAGTAAACAATAAGTTGTTTTTATTCTAGAGCGTTCATTTGATTTTTGTGGTATTCACACACGCACGCACTCATTTGATGAAATGTTAACCACGACTTTCACATGTAAACGCATCAACTCCATTAAATCCAAAGTTCTATTCCACCTGAATGTGTGTGTGTGTGTGTTTTTGTGTTGAGATGATATTAATCGTAATCCTGCCGCAATCGGGTTTTTCTCTGTATATTTATTGTTACAGTCCATTTTGTGTCGTGGTTGCAATTCATTTCATAAATTACAACAAAATACTATCCGCATCCGCTCGTATGTGTCTCTGTGAGAATTTGTGTATGTGTGTGCACGGTCAACCATATGTGATTGTGTTTTGTGTGTTGATTCGCACGCTGCTGTTTGTGTGTATTGTTTATCCTATTTATTTATTTTTTTAAAATATGCTTGCCGTTCTTAAATTACATGCCATTTATTTCATTTCACATTCACTTGCTTTTTTCTCATTTATTTCCACTCTTTACACAATTTTAAAATATGCAAAAATTACGTGAAATAAACGGCCACTGCTAATGACAAATGTAACATTTCAACTTGCTTGGCACAATGAAATAAAAATTATTTATAATCAAGCATATTTATTTATTTATTTTTGTTTGTTATTTTTCCAACTTTTTTTTTATCTTCAACATGATATTACACAAAATCTGCGGCATTCACACAATATACTGCACCAATTTAATGCACACACGCACATAGCACATACAAATGACAGCGCTTGCGAAATGGATTTCATTTTATAATTGGGCCAAATAGAGAATGCTAGTTTTAATGTTTTTCCATCTCTCACAATAATTGGCCATTCGCTTACGTAAAAATACGGAAATAAATGCATGATGGTCTTTTGCAAAAACTTGTCGAATTTCTATCAATCTTGTCATTCGATTAAGCCGATGATTATGTATCGATAAGGTGACATCGTTTCATATGATATAATCCCGTGGATTTACCAACATTCTCTCTCTTGCATCGATCCATCAGTGCTTCGAGGAAAATCCATTTCGATAAGCCCAAAATGAAACGGTTCCATTTGGTGTGAAAAGACTTTGAAAATGGTTTTTTTTTTCGCATTTTGGACGGAAACTTTTCCGAAAGAAAATCCAAAATACTTTCATAACGTCATGTGTTAATGACGCT